TTTATGAAACCTTTTTATATTCTGACCTAGATGAAATAACATGTTAGTATAAAAAAAAAAAAAAAAAAAGAAAATTGGATTTAGTAAGATTTTGAAGTGACAACCAATTGAGGTCTAACAATTATTTATTCAGTAACAACCAAACCATAATAATTACAAACAAACAAGAAGAAATGCACGTCTGAATGTTTGAATTCAACTTCAAATACTTGACTATTTCTATTTTAAATTTTTCAATCATTCAAATTATAGAATTTGAAAAAGTTTTTCTTTGTATATCAGCTAATCGCTTTTTATTTATCATTAAAAACAAATCACGTTTAACATTAAAAACTACAGCAGGCCTCTCACATGAATAGGTAACTTGATTTAGAATTTGCTATCTGTATTTGTTCCTATCTCTATCTTTGTTCAGAACAATAGAGGAAAAACAGAAAATATCTGAGTGACAAAGACAATAGTCAAATAATTAAGATGCAGCATTAAACAATCATCTGTTCTAATCAAAGTAATGAAAGCTTACATTTTCAAACATTTAACTATTAGCTGAAGAATACCTACAAACTGAATTATTCAAGGGAGATAACTAAGGGATGAATTAGAAACCAGTACCTATGGCAAATGCATTGATGTAACCCTTTTAGAACTAATATATAAATGTTTATATCACATTTTCAAGCATCATTCAACACTAGTTTTCATTTGTTCTTGCTGCTTTTTATTGCAATGCTAAATATTTTTTCTATATTCTACAACTGCTCAGCAACAAGTTTGGTAATAAATTAGCTTCCAAGAATTATTTCCAACCATATGCTGTTTACTTAACCATCACTGAATCTAAAAATCTGAGCATTGCTATAAAAAATAAAATAAAGCAGCAGCAGCAAAAAAGGAAGAAAAGAAAAACTATCCAAAATTAATAAAGCTTTATCCAAGAATCTTGAATAACAAAACTTCTAATACTGCCATCTTAAACTGTTTCTATAAAATCTTTGACAAATATTGTTGGGATAGCACAGCAGTAATTCAAAAAAAAAAAAAAAAAAAAAAAAAATTATTTAAATGTGTAGCAGAAATACAGTCCACATAATGATAAGACATAAGCTATATGAAGACATCATTGCCACTAATGTCTTACCATTATGTGGGGAGGGGATGCTGATTCTTATTATTGTTATTGTTGCAGAATGTGTGCAGGTGAGCTTAAATATCAGGTTTTAATTTCTTTAAAAAGAATACTACACTAAAATGTGCTTCAAGAAGAATCAACATTTTAAGTTGTAAAATTTAATTTGCTCAAGAGTAAATTATTTACACTCCATTTCTAAATTTAGAATGATTTTAAAAATCTCTCACCAAGAAATGAATCCCCCAAAATAAAACATTATATATATATATATATATATATATATATATATATATATATATATATATAAGCAATTCTTCCACTCCCACTGGTCCAATTTCAATGACTCATAGCACATTCAAAAGCCCTAGAAAAGTTAGGAGCTGGGAAGGAGTTTCATTGAGCTCAGATTCAGGGCTGCTAGATTATGCAAGGTTATATATATATATATATATAATACTAGCCATTATCATTGCTTTCATGGTTCAAGGGGAGTAACTTATTTTTCTTTCATATCTAAAATTGCAGTGGATGTTTTATTATAAACTAGCTTAACTATCAGGTGACATTTCAGTTAGCTCCTGTGGAGGACTTGTTTACCCGTCATCATAATGGCTAGAGAGGAGTAAACGCGATAGGCATCAATAAACTACAGAAGAACTCAAAATTGATCACTGCATTTAAGTATCAAATTAATGTTTAAGCTTATCTTTTAAAAGTTCAACGATAATTCTTCTGCTGCCACTTAAAGATAATTTGATGTAGATAGATCATTATTTTCCATACAAAGAATTATTTTTATTTCATGGGCGACAAGACAGGGGACAATTTATAAGATAAAATTAATATATTGTAAAGATGGGAAAATAGAAATTACAATTAGTTATACATTCAACTCTTGAATAGCTAGAGAAACATAATAGCTAATTAAGTAAAACCTATATTATGGAATCTATAAACGCAAAATTGGAGCTCAATTCTCTCACAAATTCTAAGATTAAAAAGCCCCAGCTCTACTTTATAGTAATTTACACACTAAAAGCTCAATATCTGTATTATATATTATCTACTGCTAGGCAATATCACTCTTCAGGTTTAACTAATTTGCATACTGATTTTAAAAAAGTTTATTTCATTAATTAACTGTCCTTCTTCACTGTTCTTTTATTCAAGGATGGTTTTGATTTTCATATCAAAAATAGTTCTGTTTAAGAATATCATCTTATATAGTGCAGAAAAGTGTTTGAAATTTCCATTTTACTTGGCCTTCAACAAGTTGCCATCTACTTGTAAAACTTTCCTTAACTATAACAAGCCAATTTAACTAAAATAAAAAACTAAAATTTTAAATGAACATAATGAAATGTTCATTTAAAATTTTAGTTTCAAAGATTTCAAGTAGTGAATATATTTTACTTTGCCAAGCAATAGCAAGTGGGTGAAGCCAGCTAGTATTTCTATAAAAATATAGGACTTTTACATTTTGAGATTTTTTACATCAAAGAAAAATAATTCTAAAGCAAGCAGTTTACATTTTTACTGGTGTTATGTATCCAATTCCATATTAAGATAAATAAAGGAATAAAATTCCCTAATTAATGAAAAGAAAAGAAAAAATAAAGCATTTGACAGAATTTGGTAAACTTTAGCAACATCACATTTATTCCACTATTTTAAATGGTCACAAAAGTAGCCAAAATACTTTTCTAAAAAAAAAAAAAAAAAAAAAAAAAAAATTATCCTTTTTTTCATTCAAGACTATTGTTCTCATCTTTTTTTGTTGTTATCACATTTCAATAACCAGTCTTCCAGTCTACAAGTGTTTGTTGATTCAGGTGATTTTAGGGTAAATTGTTCCCATTTGGCTGTCAATGTCTAGGGATATCTTGTCTTAATTATTTAGTTATTGCTGGTCCATTTCTCACCTATCGGGCACACTCTAGAGATTGAATTCACAATTACTAATCACCAAATTCACTAAATAAGTATTTAATCTTCTCTGCCATTGTATTTTAGCCTAGAGGATTAAAGCATTAGTAAGTAAATTTGGTGGCATAGTAATTGTGAGTTCAATCCATTAGCTGGGTAATATGAATATACTCAGGCTCAACAAGTTTGAAAAACAGAACAGAATTGAGCAGTACTAAAAGGACAATTGACAAGATATTGGTAGACATGAACTGTAGAATAATCTATCCCTGTATATTGAATAAAGGGCTCAGTTTGAAATTCCCTAACGATCACTCAGATCAACAACCACCTGAAGAAGGAGATAAAAAAAAAAAAAAAAAGATGAATAGTCCAAATGAAAATAGTAATAACTCATCTCAGAAATTCAGACAAAAAAAAAAAAAAAAACTCATTTTATCAGTTTGCAATTTGCTTTTGGATGGAGTGAACAAAGAATATTAACTGTCAAAAAAGCTCTCAGCCCAACCAAGAAAAAATTTTTTGCTTTTTTATTTCTAATATTTTATCAGAGTGGGTCAGGCAGGGAACATTTTAGCATCTGCTTCATATATTACTGTGAGTCACTTCAAATAACCTAAAACATAAAAATAAAAATTAAGACAAATAGAAAACTTTTCAAGATGGAAATTTTACAATTTACCTAAAGATAGTATAAAAATCAAATACATTAAAATTATTCCTCAATTGAAAATTTAAAAATAGAATTACTTTAGAATTGCAATTAATAGATAGGTGCAAGTTATAATTTTAAATGGAATAAAAGAATTTAATAAGGCTTTGAAAGAAAATTATGGTTTATTCGCACATTCAATAAAAGTTATTTCAAAGTTTCCAACCAAGGCAGCAAAATATTCACATTAGACTTCAAAAGGGAAACTGAAATGTTGCTATGAGGCTTTCAAGTTTTTAAACTCAAAAACCATGCAATGAATATTGATGTAATGTCAAAATTAAAAGTTAAATTACCACATGCTTTTTGTAGGAATATGCATAATTTTACAATTATTTATACAAATCTTTTTTCTTTTTACCTGTTTTAAATATTTGCTGATTTCAGTACAGTGATAATTTCATTTCAAAATATAGACTATAGGCAACAAAATTTATCAGTTTGTGTTATGTGCAGCAAAATCATTGACCCATTAATGAAAAAAAAAAAATTTTTTTAAAGTTGTCTCCCTTGTTACTAAAGGAGAGGGCTTATCTCTGAAAATATAGGCCAGGTATTTCTTCAAAAATATGAACCAGTCAGCATTCACATAGAGAAAATTTCTTAAGAATTTATCTTTACAGTTTTAAACTGTTGAACCTATTTTCTATCCACTTAAATTGGTCAAAAAAGAAATTTAAAGATCAGTGAAGAAGACAGAGTGAGGTTCAAGCAATACATGTGGTTGTGGCTCATCCTTAAGACAAAACAATGCTAGCTTGTTACAGAATACAAAATAGAGATGAGGAAGCAGGGTGTTACAATTTATAAACATTACAATTCAATCAATTTACCTACCCATCTCTTTCTTGTTTTTTAATGAGACTTAAGCAGCAGAAACTTTTCTCTGCCTCACCCCATTACACGTACTCAGTGGGAGAGGGAGACCCATAACCAGAAAATATGTTTAGTGGGAAAGGTGGAGCAACACACCTCCTCCACACACTTGGAGAGAAGGATTGAAATTAAGAGAACAGTAAAAATAGGACTGCTGCAGTAGATAACATTTTGTGTTATATTATATATATATATATATATATATATATATATATATATATATATATATATATATATTATAAAAGAGACCAACAACTAAATTACAATGAAAACAGCTGGTGTTACTATGGCAATGAGTGACTATGCAGACTGGTGACTGTAGCTGAGTTTTTGTGATGACACCTTGTGCTGAATATACTAAGAGGAATATCCAGGTGATGTCACATAGCGGTAAAGTAGAGCTACAGCAAGTGCAATTCCTATAGGAACAATCCAATTGGTCCAACTGCTGCAAAAGACAAAGAAAAAACAATTGGTTAAAGAAAAGACATTTGGGGGAGGCATTATGCTATAAATTATCAATCTAATGATCAAAGGCCTACTTTTTTCCTATCAGCTTTTAGCAAGTCCTGATCAAATGATAAAATTTGGCCTCCAGATATTTATCAGGGGAGAATTAAGTAAGGTCAAGTTTAACTAGAAATTGAAAATAATTTCCAACTCCACAGATTAATGACATTTTAGAGAAAAAAAAATTTTTTTTAAATTTGAGGAATTTATTTTTTTAAGACAAGAAACAAAGAATGTTTTAACTTTCATGTGACAACACTTTTCAAGTAAATGCTTTCTCAGTATGTGCATATAACACACAGACTTAACCAATATATCAATATGCATAATCATCATCATCATAAGGTTGAGCAAACTCAGCATTCCATGACACATTGCTTCCATCCATTCCTATTGTTCATTGCATTTGGAAGCTCATCTGTGTGCATCCAGTGTCTTTCTTCAGATGGTCAATGTACATCTTCGACCTTGTGTTCTTTTTGCCATGGAGTGGTATCCAGAATAGAATATCTCCAGCTACTTCTTTGCTATGCCAACAGTAACCAGCAAATTTTAGTCTTTGTTGATGTACTAAATTTGCTGATGGGAGGTATGTTGCAATAGAGCTCTTTCTTTGTTGGGTGGTCTTTCTAGAATTTGTTTAATGCCACTCAAAGTATTCATGTGTAAGCACCTTCTAACCTCTTTTCCAGTTTGACTGTTAGTATCCAGGTTAATGAGCCATAGACAAGAACAGACTCTACTGTAGCTCTGAAAAAGTTTCTCTTCAGTTTGTTTGGTAGATTTAATTCCCAGATTTTGTTCAAGACATCAGGATGTAGAGTGTTAGATCAGTAGGTGAAGCAATAATCAAGTAAACAAAACTTTGGTTCACTATGTCAGTGGTGAGGCAACTCATGCAAACTACTGTTAGATGTTTTGGCAAGGCACAGCTGCTCTAATACAGAGTATTGCTCAAACTTGTAAGGAGCTATTGAAAGCAAAACATGACACAAATTCAAAGACATCAATATGCACTATTGATCAAATTATGTACTTTTTGTTAATTGTCATTTTTTAGGTATTTATCTTCCTGCTTCCAGGTTATACATGTAGTAATATTCTTTACAATTTGAAGTATGAACATGTTTCATTCCAAGACACATTATATATATATATATATATATATATATATATATATAGAAACAAACGATTTTTATCAATGGAGGAATGCCATTTTTATAAGTTATGCTTGTAAGTTAATTAAATATTTAAACAAATATTAAATATTTTCACAAAATAAACCAAACAGTAATCAGCAAATACAAATTGGGTATATAGAATTCTATTCCTATGTAAAAGTGCAAATTCTTTACCAAACAAAACTTTACATATCAGGACTACTTATTAAAGATTTAAATGCATTTTGAGGCTTAAATAAAAAAAAAAATTAAAAAATTAAATAAATAAATCAAAGTTATAAAGAATTTTAAGGTTACAAATACCATTACCAGGTTTTTATAAAAACTCTCAGAAACATTAATAGATGTTATATTACATGCCTCCCTCCCCCAAACCAAAGACATTTCTTCTAAAAGGTTTTCATTCACAGGAGAATCACTTTCTTGGATCAAGTTTTGGTATTCAATGATATACATTCATAATATTCATCACCTAAAGAAAAAGAAAAAAAAAAAGGAAACAAAGTTCCTTACATCAGTCATAAAAGAGTAAAGCCGATATTTGTTATTAATGACTAATTGCTTCCTGATAAAACATCAAATTTTACTAATATTTAAAAGAAATTAATAAATTTGTTGCCAACTTACTTTCTGCTAAACGGAACTTCAATTGGTTGAGTGGGCTACAAAGTGAGAACAGCAAGTATTAATCCATAAATAAAATACCAATAGAAAATAATAGTCAAAGATAAGCTTTAATAAATCAAGCTGTATGTTGACATGAAAAACATTTGTGCAACTTTCGTGAATAAAAGAAAACATTTTCTGTGATTAACAAACATTTAAATAAAATAAGACAAGTGAAATGGCTAAAATTTCATCAAGTTATTAAAGATATGATTAAATACAAGACAAATAGAATTACTTTATATTTATTTAATTAAACAAAATAAAGTAATGCAATTAAATAAAATTGATCAAAACAAACATCAAATATCCCACCTGTAAATATTTCAGATGAAAATAGTGTAAACAGACAGTGAAATATTTTCAGTAGCAATTCTTTTATATAGCTGGTTTATCATAAATTTTATTGTAACTTTTTATTTTACAATTTTATTGTTTGTGCAATAGTCTAGGTACATGCCAATCATTAGTAAATAGTACAGATTAGAAATAAAGATTTTAATACTTATTTCATATGTCAGGAGCATGTCTTACATGAATATCACCTTAATGAGCATCATATTAACACCAAGACAAAATACGAACAAAAATTAATTAAAAAAATAAAATAAGAATTCACAATTTTAAACCATTCTTGTCATACAGGTTTTTCTTACAATTAACTATATATTTTTAGCAATTTCAAATGTTCTTTTTAATATTTTCTGGGATCATAAGAAGCAGAAAATTTTGTCAAAGTCAGGATTAAATAGTTAAGATGTCAAATACACAGTTGAAATTGTTTAATGACTCAAAGAACTGAATATTTAAAGCCCCCCCCTCCCTACACACACACACACATTCATGTACTCATGTATGCACAGACTACTTTGGATCTTTTTTTGTTGTTGCTAAATAATGTATTTCTTTGCCAGTTGGTGATAGGCACAAAAGTAAAATTTAATAGCAGCAATAAAAGCGTCTGTTAAATTAAGAAAAAATACCTAAAAAGAGGGGGTAAAAAAACAAAACAAAAATAATACATTACCATAAATAATAGTGAAATAAAAAAAACAGTTAACAAAAAAAAAGCAGCTAAACTAAACTCAGAGCTGAGATTGAGAATGAGAAATGCTAAAGAGAAGTAAAGGGTTTTAGCATTGTGTCATCTTGTGTGCACTTTGTATGTGTGTGATTTTTCTGATTGTTTGATGAAATTATTACTTCTCATAAGTACATGTAAAAATTGTATACATTACATCAGTATTCTGGCTTTTACGATATGTCAGAATTACCTTCTGGTTTTTATAGTACTAATCATGTGTGCTGATGTTTTATACTGATGATAGAGATAGAAAATTGTTGGATTTTGTACAAATCTCTGAAGGTTTTATTTTGTGGTCACTGTTGGGAGGGAGGAATGAAACTGATTAGTTTCATAGTATAAACATTTTGGAGCAATATTAGTTTCAAACTAAAAGACTAAGTAGGAGTTTTTATTTTGCTGAATATACAAGGTGAAGTGAAACTAAAAAATTCTTGGCCCAACCAACTTTGCCACCCCCAATCAAAATTCTGATATCTTGTTACAGAAATACTAATTTTGCAAAGTGAGTTAGGCCAAGAACTTTTCTACACCAACTCCTCACAGGACACTGTCAGCACATAAGTAAATGTAAAAGATCTTTTTTAAAAAAAAAAAAGTCCAGCAAATCTCCTGCTTAGTTATTCTGAAATTATTTACATTTACATCCCTGCCACTTTCTAGTCAATTATTTTCAAATTATAATCAGAAAATAACAATGAAGTTATAAAATATTCATTAAATTTTAAATCAACTGATATAGATTTGCTTTGAAACAATTTCAAAACCTTCAATAATTTTCATTAATAAAAACTCTGAAATCTCTTATATAAAATCCTAAATTTCATATATTTTGAAACATTACAGAAAAATATACATTGGTTCCAATTTTGAATGATAAATAAAAAGGTTCAAATATCAGAAATGCTTCCATTTATGCTAACTTCTGCAAATGTCTGTCAAGTTTTCAAGGCAATTTCATGAGGTTTTCTCATGTGCTTTATAACATGTGACAGATTTTCCAAATTTAGTCACCTGATCAAGATAAATCAATTGATAAAATACACTGCAACAATGACAATGCAGTTTCTAATTTGTTCAGTGTTATTTGAATATATTATTTACTTCTGAAATGACATTCTTGCTATAACAGCCTGACGACCAGCTGCTTTAAGTGGTCCAGTTGATATCTTTACTACAAGTTGCTTCATACTATTTCCATTGTTTTTTTCTAATTGTCTCATTCATACAAAAATTAGTTCAACAATAATCCAGGAAGGAAGAAGAAAAGGCAGAATTGTCAACTTTTTTTTTTCTTTTTAAATATTGCTATTTTAGAGATTATTTCTAAAGAACAGGAAATTAAGTGAAAATTGGTGGTGTTGAAATTGAACTAAGAAAAAAAAAAAAAAAAAAAAAAAACAAATGAAAAAAAAAAACAAAAAAAAAAAAAAAAAAAAAACAAAAAAAAAAAAAAAAAAAATGAAAAAAAAAAAAAAAAACAAATGAAAAAAAAAAAAAAACAAAAAAAAAAAAAAAAAAAACAAATGAAAAAAAAAAAAACTTACTTTTTGGTCTTTCTTTTCTGTCATCCTGTAGAAAAATAGATGAATAGGTCAAAATTATTTGGAAAGGAGTGTAAAGATTACCAAATTAACATTCACCTGTTAATGAACATTTTTGCTATTTTACCTTTTAATCACAAAAAAAAAAAAAAAAAAAAAAAAATTATGTAATGTCCCTCTTTTTGAGATTTGTATTTTGTTTTCATTTTATTCTCCACTCATTTCTGTAACAAAAATACCCTTTTCCAGTAATGTTATTTAATCTCAAGAAAATAACCATTGTTTTATTCTTGGTTTAGGCATGTCAGAAAAATAAAGAGTCAGTACTAAAAGTTGTATACTTAACATGATATTGAATGTGATTTATTGGTATTCTTAAGCAATAAGAAATCAGACCAGCAGCCATAATTCAAAAAGCAAATTGTTATGACATATCAATATTACTAAGATAGTCATAGGCAATAACAATACCTACAACTAATAAATAAAAATGTATACAACTTGGTTGTATTTGTTGCACAGATAAAAAATTTAGATTTACTTAAAAAAAAGAAAAAAAAAAAAAAGAAAAAATATTTATTACTATTTATTTATGATAGGCTAAAGTTTATTTTCAGAAATGTTTTATAAAACTGCTAATAAAATTAAATTTAGAAAACACTACATTTATGTCATTTAATCTCTGCCCAGGACCATAATTCAGATTTAATACAAATGAAATCAATTTGTCTACTGCTTTTAATGAATATGTTAAGATATGTTTTCATTATTAATACAGCTTTGACAACAATACTAATATAATTATCATGAAATGGCAGACAAGTTTGTTTTCCTCCTCTCTCTCAAGTCCCATACAGCCCAAATGTTGAGTATGAGAGCCACAGCCTCAGCACTCTAGGTGTTGCTGCTGTTGTTTCCATGGCAAGTAGGTTTTTCATAGGATGGAGGTGTTAGCCACATGACAAACTGATTTAGAATTTAAAGTTGTCCTTCTCCTAGACTGATTACTAACCAAAACTGAAGAGACCTGCCTGCCCTACTATTTAACCCATAACTAGGGAGAGATGGATTCATACCTTTCCCTTATACAAAAGGGAATCTAACAAACTCAACTGCTCACCATCCTCATTCTGAAATGTTAGCCATTACACCACCTGCACATCTTGTTTCCTTATTCAGTCAAATAATGATTGACTGGAGTTATAACTTGTCAAAAGATAATCTGTGACATTATAATAAAGTTGTACTAGACCAAAGCATTTGAAAACTTGATCTATTGCATTTCCATTAGTAATCTGAAAAGTATACTGTTCACAGATTTTGTTACATCTCTTTATAGTTACATAGAAATTAGGTCAATTAAAACAAGTTTAGCAGTCAAAGTGACTACCAAATTTGACTACCATTCAAATCATAGAATCATATGTTCTTAACTGTCAAAACATCACAAAATACCAACTCAAGCCAATATGGTTGATATGTTGTGACTTGCTGTTTTACACGTTTAATTCCAACACAGGTTAACTTAAATAAACATAACTAGAACAAGTCTTCAATCATACCTACAAGAAAGTGATTAACAAAACAATAGGAATGCTTGTCACAGGTCACTTGATACTAAATGGATTTAGCTATGACAATAGTGAAAATGTGTTTAGTATTTGCATCAAATAACAATCATGCAATCATTTCTATGTACTGAAATGTACTAAAATAATGTTTATATTAAACAAAGACCTTTGAAACAAATTAAGATCCACAATTTGCTTGACTGAAAATACAAACGGCTTCTGCATAGAAGTCTTTATTGCTAAATAGAAAGTACAGGCAAAATAAAATTTGTGAACTTTCTTACTCAAAAGGGATTTATTACATAAAACACCACCTATTTAATGAAGCAAAATGTCTACTATTTGACCAAAGATATCATATTCCAATTTGATGTCATTTGTAATTATTTACAAAGTTTCTGTATATCCAAAGTAATTAAATATACCAAGGAAACAAAACTTTGCTTTCTCAAAATTCAGAATCTGGACAATCTGAAACACTGACATAAGAGTTGATAAATACTTACTTCATGAAGTTCCCCTAAATAAAAATTTTTCATCATAATCCGTGCATCACTGGAATGGCCAACATCTTCAAATGGTTCAGTTCCATCTCCACCTAAAAAATAAAAAAAAAACATTCATGCAAAAATATTGAATTAATAAAAACAGAAAGCACTAATCATTGCACTAATGTTCTGGATATTTAGAGGAATAATGCTTAAAACTGATTTTCAGAGAAATCCTGAAAATAAATTGGAGAATCCCAATATCATAATTCACACATATTTTTAAAATAAAAAGTGTAGAATTTTGTTTGAATTATTTTTTAGACATCCATAAAAATGTCAAATTTGTTTCTGTGGTATATGAGAAAAACTTCTTCAAAATCTTTATATTTAAGTCATCATTTTGAAAACAGTAACATTTGTAATTATTGTTCATCCATTTTTTTTTCAATTTTTTTTTTTTTTTTTTTTTTAAAATGGATAAATTTTACTGGCCACCACTTTTATTAATGTGCTTCAAAGCAATAATCAGTCAAATATACCATTTGAAAAAAAAAAAAAATTGCAGACAGCTTCCTGTACAATATTTTAAAATAAGTTTAATTTTTACATTGTTGGCAAGGAAAATATAACAAATATAAGTTTGCAATGATACTATGAAAAAAAAGATAATTTGATTGCAAAAATTGAAATTCCAGAATTATTGCTACACAAATTGATTGGTCAGATATCTACTTTCAAAAGAATGGTATTACAAATTAGTTCCAAATGCAGATGCAAGTATTTTGCCAAGTATTGCTTCCAGCATACAGAGATGATGTAAAGCATTATGACTAAAAATACTCAGCTGCTAAGAGAGATAATAAAATTTGAAAATATATAAACACCTGACAATCACCCACTAGAAAAGATAAGGGGAATTTTTTTTTTTTATCTGAGAAAATTAACTGCTGGTCAAAGACAGATAAAAAAAATTGAAAATGGAGAAAAGGAATAAATTTCCTTTCATGGGAGAATTGACAAAATTATGACACATCATAAGTAGGGATTTCAACAGCAGTTAGTATCTTTGTATTGTTATTCCTATTTAAATAGACAAGAAAAAAAATGATTCAAATAACATTACAGTGAAATACCAAAATGTAGTATTCTTTCTACTATCATAAAAATGAACATTGCTTTTGTGGATCTTTAAAAGCCATTTCCCAGAAATATTCTATTGAAATTTTATTAGGAACATACAATAAATGAAAACTGACTTCATTTTTGTTTATAGGTTAGGTAGAAAAACTACTGCTATTATTAAGTTATGGTCTCTAAGACAATTTTAAACTGATAATCCTTCAAATGGATGTGTGAATAGCATAACAGTTATCAGTGTGGTAAGTGAAATCAGCAAGCAAAGTCCAGGCCAAGTTTGCTGCATTCACTTTACCTTTGTGAAAGGCAAGAATCCTTCTCATCTTATCCGAGCTTTAAGTTAAATAGAGTAAAGTGGGATCTCTAGTCTTGGGTGCCAGCCAGTCTAAGAGAAAGACTACTCTGAATTCAGACCCATGGAGAAAGCAACAGAAAATCAATCCACTATCTTTTCTAAGTAGTCATGCTAATTTACTGATATTTAAGAAAAGGAATCAGTAGAAAACCAGAATCTAATACTTCCTTCTCTCTTCTTGTAATGGAGAGGGTTGAGCCAGCTCCAATATTGGAGTTTCATGGGAATTTAGAATTCATAAGCAGTCCCCAAACCCACATGTATAGCAAATGAGATTTGATTATAGTAGTGAAAGTTTCATGCAGGACCATCCACGCTTTTTGAAGGGCCGAATACAGAGACCTGGTGCACTACGTGCCACAAGGTCCCCAAACGACCATCCGCAGGTTTTGAATTCAGAGTTGTCCTTCTCCTAGACCAGTTGCCATCCAAGGTTATAGAACCCAGTCTGTCCTGCTATTTACCCATAGCTGGAGGGAGAAGAAGAGGATTCACACCTTTCCCAAGGGTATTAGCACGTAAGTGAATGTAATGGATTCAACTGGAATTCAAACTCAGCTCTCCGATTCCTCAATCCAAGCCGCTATCCATTACTCCACCGTGCCTCCCTCTAATACTTTCTGAAGGGGCATAGCATTAAGAGATAAAATATTCAAGATTTTTTTTTTTATTTAATAGTCTGTATCCAACAGAAATTACTCATACAAATTTTGGATCAATAAGTTCATAGCCTAACAGGTTATAGCTGAATTTTATTCTAAATTTTTTACTGTGTAATACATGATCTGTGTGAATAAAAGAGAAATCAAGTGCACTGGCAAGGAGATTAATGCTAAAAAAATATTAATGTAAAATAAGTATGTTTTTTCATCACTAGTCTACAAAGTTGTTGAGTCATTAAGTATTAGAAAAATAAACACTTCAGTTTAACATTGGCATGAGATGCATACAATTTCTATGAAGAAAAACCTAAATTATTGATACAGGTACAAACACTGCTGTCATAAAAGATCACTTTCATTCTAGTTATTTCTCCACAAAGCTGTACTAAAATTTTGACCATAAAAATTAATATAGAATCAAAAATTTCTGATGAGTTCTCAGGTTACAAACAAAGAATTCCTATTTTGAGTGCAGGTCTTTCTTTTATAGAATCTCTAGTGAAAGTGAAATCAATAAGAGAAGCAAAAACCACTTGAAATTCCAATAATAAAAAAATACATTTGTAAATTTTATCAAGTGCAAATGAAACCATATAATTTTGAAAGCCAAATAAATCGCACCTAGAAAACAAGCATTTTGAATTGGTTGTATAAAGTCTAAACAACAACAAAAAATATGAAGAAAATGTCAATACAAAAGAAAAATATTTCAATATAAAAAATTTTTTTCCCTCCATAAAAACAAAATTTCCTGGAAAGCTGCATAAAATTGACAATAGAAAAAAAAAAAAGGTGGGGCAGGTATATATATATATATATATATATATATATATATATATATATATATATATTTATCCAACGTTGTTGTTGTTATTATAAACTTTATTTTTTATGGAAACAAACATTTCAGTTACCTCTAAGTAATTTTTTTTATTTTTTAAACAGTGAAATTAACAACAACCGAACTAAATTAATAAGTCCTCCTAAGAAAAATTCTGCCTCCAGTAGGATTTCTCAATTTAGGCCAGTTATTAATTTCACTGTTTTAATAAAATTAAAAAAAAAGGGGGGGGGGGGTAACAGCTCAAACATGTGTACCCTATGAAATAACATTTATGGTAATATATAAAAGGATATAAATATCCTTTTCAATTGAATTTAACCAATGAAATTTTACTAAAAATATAAGGAATTTAATAAGATATACTGCATTATTAAATTTAAAAAAAAAAAAAAAAAAAAAAAAAAAAAGCTTATTCAATTCATTTACCTTAAATGACAAAGATTACAAAATCTTAAGAATGGAGACGAGAGCTGACAAATAAGCAAAATTCAGTAAGATCAAAGTCAATAGATTCAATATTTCTAGCAAACTGACAAATGTTTCATATCTGCAAAAATCATCTGACTTTGCAATACATTCAACTTAAAAAAAAAAAAATTACAAACATACAACCACAAGGGAGCTAAACATGACTGAATTTACACAAGATTCTTTTAAAGCAGTGTTTCAAGTGACAGGTCAAAAGAGAGCAATTCCCATACAAAGAGTAACCAATAGGGAAGATCCAGTCATAAAGCTGTTTATAGGCAAGAGAAATTATGAAATGTTTACATTTCTGTGAGGAATGGCTATTGCTTTTATATTTAAGAATAATTAAGACATTCATTTTTATTTCCTTTCACTAATTACTTGCAATCTTACAGTTGGACCAATTACCAAATGGTAATTGACCCAATATGGTAAGGACATCAGCTGAAAAACATTAGCATTCCAACACATGGAAGTATCAATGTTACTTTTAAGAATAGTAAAAGTTTCTATTTCTATACCAAAGTAAATCAGAAGTTTGGAAATATTTCCTTACAATACCAGGTTTTCCAATTTTTTTCAATCTTTCAGTTTGGGACAGTAGTTTGTTTTCTTATTGTTCTGTGGTTAATTAAGAAGGAAACAGAGAAAATAGGAAGCTAAATACTAATCAATTGTAATACTACTTAACGATTCATCTAATAAAAGTGCAAAAGAAAAAAAAAAGAAAAAAAAAAAGCACACACATGGAATGGAGTGATGAGATATAAATTAGATTTGATCTTCTGTAAAGCTTTTCACAGCTTAGCAGTTAAAGCAGAAAGTCATTTACCAGGCTTCCAGGAGGCAAATGAAACACTGGTGTGAGCTTATTTCCCATTGGCAAAATAAATTAAAAAAAAAAAAAATAACACTGCTATTATTGCTTTTTATTCCACAGTTGATTTGTCTTTTACTTTTCTTTCTGTCCCTAATACTTACAAATAAACTCTAGTCACCATTCAAATTTATTTTGTGATCTAAAATGACATTAAAGTAGCCAATGTTTGTAATATCAATGATAACTCGAAGCTACCAAACATCTTTACTCTCAACTAGAAAAAAAAAAACAAAGATAAAATTCCAGATCTCAAGGACACATGACCCAGTGGATAAAGACATTGGTGACTAGACCCAAATAGTTCAGAGTTCAATACCAGGCCACAGCAGTGGTGAACCAAACTTGGAGAGTTAAAGGAAAATAACCGAGACATCATGTGGAACTAAAACAATCTACCCCAATGGATGAAATAAAGAGTTCAGTTTGAAATTTCAATCACCTGAAGAAAGCAGGAGCATACAACAGCCGAAACATTGTGAATATGGCAATGAAGATTTGGATAACAGTCCAAATAATGTAAATAATCATAATACCTCATCTTAGATATATAGACAGATATAAAACTCCAGGAAAATAAAGAGAGAGATGGAGGATCCTTGTTCAAACTACCTGCTGTTATAAAACCCAAAGTTCACAACTAGTTGACATGTAAAGTCTATAAACATTAATGGCTTTATCAACTGCTTTCTACTAAATATTTCACTTATGCTGAATATTTTATGTCATAAACCATTAATTTTTTTTTTAACCATTCAAAATTC